TTCTCTTTTCCACCAAAAACATTCTTGCCTCCCTAAAATCCATTCACCTAATGATTTAGAGTGACATTTTCACAATGTTAATGAGATTTTGAGTTTTCCTGCTTTGAACCCTGCAAAAGTTTACCACTGTGTTTTAGATAAAATTCCTAGTCCCCTCCAAGGACTTCTTACATGGTCCTTATGATCCTTAAATCTGTGATATAAATCTTAGGTAACCAGTTGTAGATAAAGAACTCTTCTACTTGGCTTGACATTAAAGATTGATGATGTTTCACTAGGCAGTAGACACCCATTTTTGTGGTAATGATAAGAGCCGGGTTCCCAGTGGATATGAGAAAGTGAAATCACAGACTTGATAATCAATAAATTCAAGGCAAGCAAAGTGACAGCAGTACTGTCAAATATTAGATGATTACAAAACGAAAAAAAACCTAGGACAAAAGAATTCAAAGATGCTTGAAATTATCAGCAGCAAATGACAGAAATGACTTTTGATAATGTTATGAACTATTTGATAATGATATATCAGTTAAGGCATTTGTTACCCTACATGACCTTCTAAAACAGCAGAAACAATGATACAAACTTTACAGCTGACATTCTTGATAATGTAGTGATACATATGATGACATATTTACCAAGTAGCTTTTCTTCACTAGTTTCAAAGATCATGAAAGTTTAAACTATGAAATCTAATAGTGTTCCCTATCAGGACCTGGTAGGTAAAAATTTTAAATGCAATAGAATAATTCTGATTTAAAAAAGAACAGTACATGAGTTAAAAACTCAAAATATCTGCCTCGACTTACCCAAACGGATCACCGACCACAAGGAACCCAATATCACTGATATCAGCATCCTTTAAAATGTTATCTGCTTCTTGTTCCACTTCTTCTCTATCAGCAAGAATCAATTTTCTTCCATAAAACTCTTCCTACAGATTTAAGTGTAATATCAAGATAGAGAGACAGCAGGTGACCATTTAACAGACACACACACACACACACACACACACACACACACACACATACCTTTGTCTTGGACTGGTGCATATGTTGGCAACCATCCAAACACAGATCATTCAATACAACTTTTCAGTGAGCCAGTACTCTATATCATGTTGCAATTAAACTCTGTCTTTGGGGCTGTCTTAATATCCCAAAGGAGGCAGACCTCTTAACATCTGAGGCCATTTGCATTTTAAATTTATTTCTAAATTTGGTTCTAAACGCCAGGCAGAATACTGCAGGATGAACACGGAATATACATACCCCACTTCAGAAACATGATATAATACAGAATAAATATATTAAACAGTAAGTTTAAACAAACATGGTTTGTTTAGGTGCTTCAGGTTTTATTAAATTTTCAATGGGAAAACATATGGCATCCCAGCTAGAAAAAGAAAAAGGCAGCACCAATGAGAAACAATAGAAAATTAGCTGTTTACAGAGCCAGTGAACATTCTTACATTAATGCAGAAGATACTAATTTAAAACTATATTCCTTAGTCTCTGCTCAAAAGGCAGAGTTGTAGGAGCAATAAATGAATTCTAAATATGTAGGAAGTTTGCATACAAACTGCTGTGTGATTTAATTCCCTAGAGAATTAAATCCAGCAGAGTGAACTAGTAAGCTAGTAGTCATCTGACAGTGGTTACAGGCTACTATGCAAGATCATGAATCCTTTTTTTTTCATCTCAGCAGCCAGTACAGAAAGAAGGACTGTAAATCTTATAACTGATATCCTAAGGAGTAATAAGTAATTCAAATGGAGTAAAAGTAGATACATAGGTAAATAATACTGTTTCTTACATATTGAGAACTTTGAGTGAGCTATTAAAAGTTACAAGGATTGCTGCAGTACAACTGTATCTGGTACTTAATAATTTCTGTCAAACAAATGAGTAAATGAACAGATTATTAAGCAGGGCAGGATCTAGCATTGACCATTTTGCTTGAATACTACCTTCTCTGTAGGTGTTCTGTGAAGTTCACTTTGTGTAGCTATTAACTATCTTTAAGAATACAGAGACACAACACAGTGTAGAGGTCAAGAGTGGCAGCCCTCAGCCAGACACGGTGGCTCATGCTTGTAATACCAGCACTTTGGGAGGTGAAGGCGGGTAGATCACCTGAGGTCAGGAGTTCAAGACCAGCCTGGCCAACATGGTGAAACCTTGTCTCTACTAAAAGTATAAAAATTAGCCGAGTGTGTTAGCACACGCTTGTAATCCCAGCTATTCGGGAGGCTGAGACGGGAGAATCACTTGACCCCAGAAGGCAGAAGTTGCAGTGACCCGAGATCATGGCACTGCACTCCTGCCCAGGCAACAGACCAAGACTCCGTCTGAAAAAAATAAAAAGTGGCAGACCTCAACTCTCCAGACTGCTTTGGTTCATCTCCTGGCTCTATCACTCACTCACTCACTTACTCACTCACTCACTCACTGTCCGTATGAACTTGGGCAAGTTTGTTAACTTCTCTATGCCTGCAAAATGAACAGTAATTAGAAAATTAGAATGATAATCCTAATCTACATGTAAAGCATTTAAAACAGTGCACAGTAACTGTTCTATAAATGTCAGTACTTATTATTGTGGAGGAACAGATATTCTAGCACCTTAAAGTATACATAATTTACTGTAGGTAAGGCTGCGTCCAGCTTCAGGTCTTGACTCTATAAGTAATAACTCCAGGAGTTTTCTCTTTGGAAAAAAATACTTAAAAAAATTATAGCAACCAAAATCGACATTTAGCTAGCACTTAAAATGCACAAAGCACTTTCATATACATCACCTCAATAAAACACTACATCACCCTCCAACTGGTAATTCTCACTTGACAAATGAAGAAACTGAGGTTCAGAGAAGCTTGGAAATGTAACCATGGACAATTTCTATTTCCTAACACTTTTGTGCCACATACGATAGCTAAGAATCTATGCTAAGAACTATGCTAAACACATAAAGTAGGTGTTTTTACCCCCATTTAAAAAAGACACTAAAGTTAAAAGACTTGTCCAAGGTCACATAAACATGTAACAAAGCAAAGATAAAATTGTATCCAAACTTTCCTCTATGCCATCCCGATATCTCATTCTATCAAACTGCTGTTTTGTTATTTGTTTTCGCTTTTCTAGATGGTGTTAAGTTCCTTCTACTTTTCCTTAGCACTGATAAGTGAAGCATATTTCCATCATTTTGAGCTTAGGTTTGGTTTTATCCTAAGAGTGACAAAAATGGGGAAACAAAAGTTTTTTCAAATCAAAGCTGGTCTTAGGCTGGGTGTGGTTGCTCATGCCTATAATCCCAGCACTTGAGGAGGCTGAGGCAGGCAGATCGCGAGAGTCTGGGAATCCGTGATCAGCCTGGGCAACATGGCAAAACGCTGTCTCTACCAAAAAATATGAAAAAGTTAGCTGGGCATGGTGGCACCCATCTGCAGTCTCAGCTACTCCAGAGGTTGAGATGGGAGAATACTTTAGCCCAGGAGGTTGAGGCTGCAGTGAGCCGTGATTGCACCACTGCACCCCAGCATGGGCAACAGAGCAAGACTTACTTTCTCTCTCTCTCTACGTATATGTATATATCAAAGCTGGTCTTTACAAACAACTTTTATTTAAATGCATGGCCAATTCAAGTAGCAGTTCTTAATTCCTTCTTCAAGATTGTAAAGTAATCTGAGACCTAAATATTTTAAGTCAATTTTTTGTTTGGAAGACATGACAAAGACAATTCTAAAAATCTGCTCCTTCCTCCCATCACGTATCTATTAATCTTTTGATTTACCTTTTACTTAGTTTGACAATGAACCTGAAGTTGACCCTTCCCCACAATTTACTGGGTCCTTATGAGGGCCAACTAAATGTATAATACACTAACACTCTGGCTACTTAGTGTATACTCATACATATAAGTGTATACTCATACACTTGTATATATTAAGTCTAGGTTCACTCAATATATACAAGTGTATCAGTATAATCCTTATTGGGAGATAGTGTATTTAAAGTAAGATCTCTCTGGATATGATACAAAAAGGCAATCACCATTCCCTATGGAAATACTTCAAAGGGGGAAGTTTTCAGCTTGGTTCTTGAATATATAACCAACTCATTAAGGCTGTGTCAGCACCTCATTAGCACTCAACTCAGAAAGGATTTCTTGACTACCTCATGAAATATGGGGTTTTGATAACTACCCCCCAAGAGTATAAAATAACTTTCCTATTTACTGGATAAAGCCACAAAATTAGACTTGTAAAGTAGGACAAATCACCCTTTCATTTTCCAAGTCAGTCGGTTGGTGTGTAATTTCCATTCTTCTACTCCTCAGATCATTAATGAACAAGCGAATGCGTTTCAATGGGTTTAAACAAGCAGACCTGAAAATTCTGTTCAGCTTAGTGTATGAAAATCAGATGTTAGAGAGCTTTCTTCCCAAGAGGCTGAGAGACGCTCAGCACCTACCAAGGCTTCCTTCCCTACAGTCAGGATTGAGGTGTAGGTTTCCAGATACACACGACTGCAGCGTCTAACAACTTCCAGGCCCTTGACCGTGATGTCCTTGGCATCTCCCAGGCCCAAGCCGATGAGATAAAGCATTTCAAGCGTCAGGAGGAGAGAGACTGCAGGACAAAGTGGACAGAACAAGTCAGTTACACCGAGGACACCTAAGATCTAGTGATGAACACGAAGATCACAACCAAAGTAGCACTAGAGAAGCGGCAAGTCACAGGGAGGGGTTTGGGAACCTTATGTCACGCTTAAGAACTGGGATAAGAGGTTTTAAAACAACCCTACCAGTTCTGCCGCTTGTTACACAAACCTAGGAGCAGCCAATTACCCGCTGAGACAATCGCACCTAGTTCCCTGACCTCGTCAAACTTCTAACCACTTTACCGCCTTTCCGCAGAAGAAACCGCCAAAGCGCCGGCTCCGCGCAGAGCGAGGACCCACGCCGCCGGCCTCACCTACGGTGCCGCAAAATGCTGGTGCCTTTACGGCACTTTACGACTAGCGGGAGGAGGACGGGCTCGCGGACTCCTGGGCTGCGGAGACCCAGGGGCGAAAGGTCAGTCAGCCAAGAAGAGTCCGTCGTGCGTGGCTTTCATAGCCTCAGGGAAAGGACCGGGCGTGCTCACGAGCCCCCTAACCCATGGCTTAAACATCCGCTTCCTAAGCCTGGGTAACTGCAGTAGTTCTTCACCAGAGAGGAGCCACGTGGGCGAGCGTCGGGAGAGGCCCTGCCCCCTACGCCTCCTCTACTCGGGACGCAGGGAGGGCTGGGAGGGATTTCCCTGATTTGCCCGAGTGCGCAGATATTAATCCCCGCCTTCTCATCTTCCTGTAGTTCAACTAGGTGTCTCCCTGGTGAAGCGTCACATTGGCAAATCCAGCAGTGAGTGTCCTGATTTCCCAACAAGGTAATGACTCCTCGGGTTTGTCCCCAAGACCTTATGCTGAAGTGCCCCAGGGATGCTTTGGTCACTCTCAGTGTCAGGAATCCCAGACCCTCCTGTACCCAAAGAAGTGACCTTTAATAGTGCTCAGGGATTTCTCAAGTCCTTCTGCTGGGGGAATTCCTATAAAGCTGTTGGTTACATGTAATTATGAATAGCAAAGATTTGTTTTGACTGGAAATGCTCTTCCTAAGGTCACTAGTGACCTCATCCAAATTAAAAAGACAGCTGCCATTGCTTATCTTAGCAGGCAGTGTTGATTATTCAGAATTTTCCTGTTGCTTCCCCGACAATGCCCAACTCCGCTTCCTTGAACCTTGAATTTTTTTTATTCCCAGGTTTCAACCACGTTTTTGCACTTCCTGTCTATACACTTCACTCTGTGGCTGACTTTATCCCCACTCATTACATTGATCTGTTCCTCACACCGCATATACACCCCCAAAAAACTCAAAATGGATCATAGATGTAAATGGAAAACCTAAACCTATACCAGAAGCAAACATAGGAGGAACTATTTGTGACCTTATTTAGGCAAACATTTCTTAGAAGATTTCTTAGACCAAAAGCATGATGAAAAAAAATTGATAAATTGGACTTCAACAAACTAAAAATTTGTGCTCTTAAAAAGACTGTTGAAGCCACAGGCTGAGAAAATATTTGCAAAGCATATATCAGATGAAGGACTTGTATGGAGAATATATAAAAAATAAGAAAACATCTCCTTGTTTAAAAATGGGCAAAAGATTTGAATACACACCAAAGAAGACACACAAATAATAAGTAAGCATTTTAAAAGATGATAAACAAAACAAGAAAGATCCTAAACATCATTAGACATTAGGGAAATAAAAATTTAAATCACAATGAGCTACCACTACCCACCTATTAGAATGGCTTAAGTAAAACAGGCAAACAAATCCCCAGAAAAACTGGCTGTTCACTCAAAATTCCTAGTATCTTTAATATTTTGCAGATTCAAATTTCAACCTCCTATTCAGACTTTCTCCCTCTTGGCTTCATGTTAACTTTCTGCTGGAAATCTTTACCTAGATGCATGGCGGCATTATTCAACACATCCAAGGTTGAATCCATCATCTTCCCTTTCAACTTTGCTTTTCTTTCCATATTATCTACTTGGATGGAGGGGACAGTGGGTGAAGAAAGTACTGTCATCAACATATTAACCCCAGCCAGACACTTGGGAGTCATCCCCACATCTAATCTCTCTGTCATGTCTGCCTGTGTGTCTCGATGGAAACCATACCCTCTGTCACCATCTTGGTTCTCAGGTCCTCATTTTGTCACTCTTGTAGCTGATCATCATGTCTCCTTTACATTCATCCTTCACTCAAGGGGGTCAGGGAGTTATAGTTAATACACAACCTGAAAATATCACAACCCTTCTAGAATCTTTCTGAGGCCAAGAGAAAGCTCAGGTGTATTAACTAACCTACCCCACAAAATCATTCGTGGTGTGGCCACTACCTACTTTTATAGCCTCATCTCTCTCCACTCTATACCATGGGCTTTCTCTCCAGCAATACCAAATTGCTTATCATTCTCTGCCCACAACACCCTGCTTTGTTCTTCTATGCTGCTGCTTCATCATGGAATACTGTCTCCTATTCTCTCCTGCCTAGATCATTTATACTCATTCTTTAAGACCAAGCTGAGGAACGCTTCCCAGAGACCCTCATCCCTCTAAGCTAATTTAGGTTTCCCCTCTTTATTACAGTGTTACTCTATGTATACTTACTGACCAATTTATGAGATTTTATATTTGTTCATTTATATTTCTTCTTTACCAAATTATTGATTTTGTTAATTCAGGGACTTCGTCTTACTCATATTCTCATCTCTAAGGTTTAGCACTATTCCTTGCACATAGTAAATATTAAATAAATAATTATTTAATAAATCATTACCCACTAGTAGCTGGGTTATATATTTTTCCATCTTTATTAAATACGGAGGGTGGTATGTTTTAAATCACTACCAAAAAATCATTAATGGAATATCGAACATAAATATGCCTGTCTCATGATACTTTGGAAGGGCATTTGTATTGAAAGGCTTACAACACACAAAACATAAAGTTCATATGCACGCTATTGGATAGGTAAACAAATTTTCCTGTGTGTTGATTTTTATGTGTTTTTTTTGTTTTCAGATTTAAAAAAATAATTTCAGATAGATTAATACTAAAATGACAGTGCCAAAAAGGATGATTAAGTAGTCCAAAGAAGGTATGGTTTATATCCTTTTAGGAACTATATTTGTATTGAAAATAAAGTTATTCTGAGTAATCAAGGAAGTGAAACATTGTCTGAAATTACAGAAATAGTTTGTTTTTAAGCATCAAAATTTAGCTAAAGGAACATAGTTTCACCACGTGGAATTCTTAACAAATGAACAAACCTTTCACCTGCCTTCATTTCTCACTAAGAGTGCAAATTTTTGTACTTTTCTGGAGGTAGGCAGATAAAGGGATTATGGTAATCTTTTTTTTTTTTAATCCTCCCCAGCTCAGCAGATGTAAGCTGCAAAAATCTTGCCTTTTTTTTTTTGCAAAATTCTTCTGTGGGATTTGGACGTTTCTCCCTTGCCATTTAAAACAGGTTTCAAATGTGATTACATTTTCCCCAACAATTTATTGTGAAAATTTTCAAATATAAAGAAAAGAAATATATATATTTGAAACAGATATATTTCTTTTATAGTTGACAGATTACAAAACATACCTAGGCATACGGCTGATTAAATGATACCATTGCTTCACCTAGTTTAGGCGAATGTTACTGTAAAATGGTTTCAAATTAGTTTTTAACAAATAATTGTAGTTTTATAATGATAATGAAAGCACTTAGAGGACAAATTTATGTCAGGAAAAGCACTTAGAGGACAAATTTATGTCAGCAAATTTGTAGTCTCATGTCTAGCAGAAGGGAGAGTGATGGTTAACGAGAAGGGTGATTATAGGACAAAAGAAAAAAAAGTTTTAGCTTTTTTTAGCTTAAAGAATAACATAGATAGGTTAAGCCAGAAGAATTTTCTACTTTATACTCTTGCTTTCGGGTCAGATTGTAACTGGGTTTTTTATGGCTGCTTTTTAAAGAGACAGGACAGAAAACAAGTGAGAAGGGTTTAATATTTTCACTTACCCCTTTGAAGTGTTTCCCTTTTTACACTTCACTCCTTTTGCCCCATGTTGGGCACCAGTTTTGTAACCAGGGTTTTTTTTTTGGGATGCTAGTGATTGTTGTGGGATTTTGGCTTCTAACCTTTTAAGGAATAAGCAGTGGAGCCACTGCAGGTGCACTGTGTGCTCATAAAGTGAATATTGGACCTAAAAAACGTGTTGCAGAAAGGTGATTTTATTTAGGTAGAGAAAAGAGAAGGAAAGGAGAAGAGGAGAAACGCTTCCACGAAGAGTGTGGGAGGGGATTCCAGAGGGGAAATCCGGCTAGGTGTGTGAGCACGGACATTTATCTTGGGAGGAACCCCCACCTTTTCCAAGACCCTGGGCTAATAAAAGGAGTTTCTTAGAACTTCTGCTGGAGTGATTGACTTTTAGTTTCTTCCCACACCTGCGAAATTTAAACATAAACCATTGAATCTCCCGGGTAGAAAGAGATGGGAGGGGGACATGGCGCCAGGGAAATTTTTGCCCTTAAAGCTACACCTGGTTGTAAACCCGGAAAAAAACACATTCCCTCAAGATGATGCCAAAACATCCCTGAGGGTGAACATTTACACTTTTACTGAAAGATCTTTAAGATGTTTTTATAACCTTTGCCAGTAATTCATTTTTACTGGCAAGTTCTTCCTTATATTTGAGACCTTCAGGCGGTAGTCATAAAATGTGAGAGAGATGCAGGTAGTCATAAGAAGTTAATACTGATGGCTTTTCCATTCCATTATCATAAACACATCATATGCTACTTTTATTTTGAAGTAATAACATAGTCAAGTCACTGCATTACATTATGGACAAATTATAATTACCTTACATTTAAGAGAAGTCATCCTTCAGTTGTCTTGTTTGAGTTGTCAATTGAAAAGAAGACATCACAAGACTGACCAAACTCCATCTGACCTTACTGTGAATGATGAATATTATTTTACTCTGAAGCTAACCTTTTAACCTACATGTTCTCAGAGATTGCCTTTGTTAGATGAAATCTTGATTAACATTTGTAGAGCTCAGACTCTGAATTGATTGGTTGTCATTATTTTCTAACAGATCACAAGTAAGTGATAATTAAAGATAGCGTTGCTTTAGGATAAGGATCTGTAGTTACTAAGGTTAAAAGATTTGACGTTACTTTATTGTACATTTGTTTACTTAGAGAAAAAGTCACTTTTTATAAAGACAGTGACTTTTATGTACTTATCCACACATTGTATGTTAATCATGTAATGCATAAATAATAATCAAATCTAGGGCTATATTCTGTGTAAAATGTGGGAATTTTTATTGTCATTCATCCTAGCTTAATAGATTGAGTAACAATATGAACTGTCTAAAGTCACCTAGAGCCCTGCGTTTTTGTGTATAGTAGCTCCCAGAATGTTCCCTTAAGTGACTGTGTGAATGTGCATGTATGTGTAAACTTTGTTTGTTTCTAATCCATATTTATATATGGCAGTTCCTTCCTCCAAAGTCTATTGCTAAAAAGGCAGAATCAGGGATACATCATTCACTCTTTCTTTGCGCTTAAAAAAACTATAGTGTCCCTTTACGTCTTTTTAGGGAAACGTAGCTAAACTAGCCAAGATTTGGTGGCAGAAGGGGAATGGTTGCCCTTTCATTCAAAAACCAAAATTCATAAAAGTGACCTACCAGGATGTATATTAGCCACACATACATACCCCCACTCTCCATGCCACTCCCCTAGTTCTCCAGCCTCACCTCCTCATCTCCGTACCCCCAGCTTCTACAGATATCTGTGTGGCTCTGGCTCTACTTCCTGGAAGTCCTTGTTGAGAGTTGCCTTCCTCATTGAGAGCTATCTTATGTAAAACTGCAACCAACATTTCTAATCACTTTATCCACTCATTTGCCCCTGTAGCATTGCTCACTTTCTAACATAACTGTGTAATATACTTATTTATTATGATGTTTGTTGTCCATGTCCTATTAAAATATAAGCACCACAAAGGCAGGACTTTTTTGTCCATGTTACGCTCCAATGTGAAACAGCATGTCCTATTAAATATAAGCACTACAAAGACAGGATTTTTTTTGTCCATGTTACGCTCTAATGTGAAACAAACAGCTATAATGGTGTTTGATGCTCAGTAAATATATATTGAATGAATGGATATACATCTACGTATGGTAATAAGTTATAAATAAATTTCTTGAGGCAAAGAACCAAGAAGAGAATATACTGCGATTTATCTATTTTATTTCTGATGGATGTTTAAGTTTCAGTTTTGGGCTAATATGAATAAATTTGCTACAAACACTGTTGTATCTGTCTTTTGTTAGATGTAAGTATTTATTGCTGTTGGGTTATATTACCTAGGAATTGGAATTGCTGGGTTATAGGATGTATGTTTTCACTTTAACAGATTGTGCCAAATAGTTTTCCAAAGTGTTTGTACAATTTGCATTCCTACCAACAATGGATGCAAGGTCCAGTTGCTCTGTATCCTTGCCAACACTTGGTATTATGAATCCTTTTAATTTTAGTGGGTGTGTAATGATATATCATTGTGGTTTTAATTTGTGGCTCTGGTGATTAATGGTGTCAGTTGCCTCATATGTAATTTTTTCAGTTATTTTAAATTTTCAGTTATTTAATTTTTCAGTTATTTTCTTTATTCAATATGAATAAAATCAACATTGCTTTTTGTATTGGAGGAAAGTGTTTTTAAAATCAGTATTAATTAAAACCTCTTCTAAGTCAATTTATTTATTTTTGAAGGCAAAAATATTTCTTTCTCCCACCACAGTGATATTTAAATGTGGAATCTATACTTGTAGATGAACAAATCCATTTGTGAAAAAAGTGCTCTTTTAAAGGGGCCTTAAAGGATTTACTAATAAATGTATGTGAAATATGTTTTAATGTATCAAAAACACTTTTTTTTTTTTTTTTTTTTTTTTT